TTTTGAAAGCATAATCAAATCTGTAAACAGCAGACATAGCAGTGAAACATTAAAATGTAGATCCTTATAGGTACACTCCAGTCAAACATGAACATTTACCCATTTAAATAAATTCAGGGTATACTACCTACATACTAGCAAAGTCTCAATTTCATCCTTATCTTGACTTTGTGCAGCTGGTTGTTGTGCCAGAGAGACTTATCAGCTTGCTTCTCATTTGCAGCACACTAAAAATCAATACTTTGCCAATTAAATAATAACCATAGGTAGTTAAATCTCTCAGTAAAAAGAAGATTTAGGCCTCATTCGCACTACATGAAATGCCAAAGAGCATCCAATACATTGTGTTTTTAATTAAAAGAATTCTGAATTAGGAAACTTAGTTGGATGACCATTAGTTGGATTTTCTTCAAGAAAAATACAGCAAGTCCAGTTGCCCTAATTTATTTTTTACAGATCTGCCAAATGTGTTTTTATGTACAAAAATCTCTTTATGCAAAAGACTTTTTAAATTAGTTTCAGAGGCTAATTATCCTATACTTTACATTTGACTCTTTAGCAACCATTCAAAGTAGGCTCTTTTAATTCATTTAATGCCATTCCAGTGTTCGCTTAAGTTAGCTTCTTGAGACTAATATCTGCAGTTCCCAGGAAGTGCAGGGTAGCTTTTGCAGAGAGTCTTTTTATTTTATACAAGGGTTCCTTTGTATGCAGCAATGGAAAATAATGGGTTATACTCAAACATTCTGAGTGCCTTAATAAAGGGGAATTACAGAAAGCATTATTGTATTATTGTGTTAAGCCTATGGAAAGATTTATATGAAATATCTTGCTATCTGATTAATTATTGGCAAGTCATATAAATAAAATAGTTTGTATGTTCAACAGAGGACAGACTCTTTAATGTGGCACTAAACTCAGGAGTTAAATCTTAAAAATGCATTTAAGTACCTTAACTATTAACAAAAATGAATCTTAGTTATTTGTGTGTCACTCAGCTGTAGATCCTGTATGTGTTGTAAAGTACCCAACACTCCAAGCTTGCTCCAGTGATGGACTACAATTTCAATATACAAATGAGTAAACTAAACATGACATTGTAGTCAATCATGGGAGCAAGCTTGGAGCGGTGGCTACTTTACAAAACACAGCGACCATGGGGAACAAAAGTAGCCACCTTTCAGAAGGAAGGACAGTGTCAGCACCAATTCAGAGATGATTTGAGGATCTACAGGTGAGTGATACACAAATAAGATACATTTTTGTTAACTACTGAGTTTAGTGTCACTTCATTATACAAAAATTATCCACTAATGGGACTATTTATAAAAAAGCAAAAACAATTAAAGACTCAGCTTGGTATTTCTCTTCATTTCATTTGTAGAGGAGATTTAAAGGTGAAGGATAAAATATTACTGGTTCTCCTCCTTCACATTTGAGGATAATGGTGGGTTAAATCATCCATAAACTTCCCATATATCTGGGCGCTTCTGCAGCAGAATATCCTTGTTGAAGTGATGAACTGAACACCCGCCCCGCCCCTGTTTCAGTTCATTTTGTTTCAGGTTTTCATTATTTTGTTTTCCGGGATTCGGGTTCGAAATTGATTTGTTACGGTAGTGGTATTTGGTTAATTTTGGATGAGTTAAATGTAAATCCCTTACCAGAGACTAGATCCGAGCTGCGGACTGGCAGAGCATAAAAGGAGGATGAGCGTATGCCTTCCTCCACTCCTGCACCATACCCTTGACATGCCCTTGACATGGGGGAGGGGGGAAGGGGTCACGTATTCACCAAATAAACAGTAAAATAAGTAAACAAAAACACCGTAAAAAAATTATTTATTTGAAAAAAAAACAACACAATTTTTATCAAATCCTTAATTAAAAAAACTAAAACCCCCAAAAATGTCTATCAATGTAATCCAAAGGTCAATAACGTTGTCCAAGGTTGTAGATCCAGTTCAATCATGATGGGACGCGACTCGCTGAAAGAAAAAATTCCCGATGCCTGCCAACATGTCTGATCCCAACGAACACCAGATGCAAAATGACTGCTCCCAAATTTACACAAAGGGACTGAGTGAGTCATGGCATCACGGGGCTTGCTCCGCACCTTTGATTCTATTCCATTAGGGGACAGAGAGCTGTCACTCAATGTAAACAAATACAAGTGGCAACACAAGTTAATTCCAAATGACATTCTGGAAAAATTTCGAGTGCATCCGAATATTGTTATCGGGAAAATTCGAACATGTTCAGATCGGATATTTGTATGCATCCGAATGTCTGAATTTGCAGATATCTGCATTTCAAGCCAGAACAAAACGAATCACACATGTCTATTCCCCATAAGCAGACCCGGCGCTACCACAAGGCAAGTCAGGCGGCCGCCTTATGGCGCTGCAGGGTGAGGGCGGACAAAACAGGGCATTTTGACAAGTACATGTACTTGTCAAAATGCCCCGATGTTTGCGCTATGGTTTTTTTTTTTTCTTCACTTACCTTCGGTGCGGGAGAGCAGCGGCGAGTCAGTGCTGGTCCAGTGGGAGGAGCTCCAGGTGGGGTCCTAATTTAGCTGGCCGGCGACTGCCTGAGGATCCCGACACGCACGGCACCTCAGGCAGTTGCTGGCCAGCTAAATTAGGACCCCACCTGGAGCTCCTCCCACCGGACCAGCGCTGACTCGCCGCTGCTCCCCCACGCCGAAGGTAAGTGAAAAAAAAAACATAGCGCAAACATCGGGGCATTTTGACAGGTACAAGTACAGGCAAGCAAAAATGCACCTTGGCTGTGTAGTCAGGAAACCTAGCACCGGCCCTGCCCATAAGATGAGTAAAACAGAATGCATATGGGCTTTGTACATATTTTCTTTCTTTATTATGGCTAAAACTAAAAAAAATAACATATTTATGAGATATTGTATGTAAATCATTTTGTATTCTTGTTTTGAATGCTCTCACAATTGAAACCTTGTACAGAGACATTTTTGCACACATCAAAGAGCATTTGCTTTTGTGTGAATGTTAGTTTGAGCCACTGAGCTCTGTAAACACATGAAAAAGACCCTAAAGCTTTCACTGTGGGCTGCATTTGAAAATGTAATAAAATAAATAATTGTGTTTTGAAACCTGAAAATAATAAAGGGAATATATACAAAGCTACTAAATTATATACCCCAAATGTTTTAAAGGAAAGGGGGAGAGTTAGGATTCTAAGCTGTCCAATTGTTTAAGACCTGAGTGGAGGTCTGCTTTAGGGTTACTTAGTAACTGTTTTACTTAGTAAAACCCAATTTATAAAGCAGCAATACTTTCCCCAGTTATCATCTTATCTTTTTTGTCTCTATAAAGTAATAGACGGTGAGTGTTACAAAGGGGTAGAGCTGCTGATTGCACATTTCCTTGTGCTTTCCAACTCACCCATGACATTGGTGTCTTAGTTACTATTTGTATCGAAACACATGACAGGTTTTCTAAGGACTGTTCTCCTTCTGTATAGCTTGTCAGCCAAATTCTTGTTTACTAAGAGGTCAGAGTTATTGAGATAGCCATTTGGCACTTCCTTGTTAGCAATATGTTGTTCTAGTTGTAGCTAATGATAATGAAAGTTATTTGAGCAACATTTAGCACAAGTTAAACAGATGGCCACAGGTTAATAGGCATTTTAGTTGTTGACTCTTCATTTTCGAGAGTTTCCATCAGGTTCTGTGTGCAGAAACTATAAAGTGGCTAATGGCTGGGAGTTCAAAGATGAAGGAGGAAGGTGGGTGTCAGAAGTGCACACTTGCTTCTATTCTACTAATGTGCTTTTGTGTTTTGCAAACACTACTTGTTGGCTAAAAAAAAAAATCGATAGATGTCTGCTCAGTTCTGCATTGAACATTGAAGTCATCGATACTTCATTACAGAACTAAACAATGATCATCAAAAAATAATAATAATAATACAATTATGTATATATCTATAGATATATATATATCTATAGACATATATATATCTATAGATATATATTGTGGCAGTGTAAGCCAATGCCACGGTGGAGGATGGCGACCTTGGCACCCAGGACTCTCAGCCAAAGGGGCTGAGAGGGCCCAGAAAGTAAAGCAGGTTATAAGGAAGAACCTGGCTTTTCAGGTTCTTCCAAGTTTTCCCAAATGTAGCTGGGATCTGGAGCT